TTTATTTATATATATATATATATATATATATATATATATATATATATATACACGTTTCATTTAATAATATAGACAAGTGAAAGTAATTCACAATATTGATCCATGTTTTTCTAATACAATCTAAGCGTTCAGCTTACATAAGCCATTATCAAAGATGTCAGTTACAACATATTAAGCAATATACGGACAGAGACAGTGATGACAGTCTGTGAATGTTTACATAGATGATCTCTAAGCAAGGATAAACACGTGCATATAAGACGCTAGAAGCGAAAATCGCACCGCATCTCATGACGTCACACATGACCACATGGCCTCCGTCACCAACTACAGACATTTAAGGATATTTGTAGAGATTCCATAGTTGATTTTGTTTAGGTTGGGTTTCAACTGTTTAATGTATAATGCTTCAAGGATTTTTAGTTTTTGTCTACTGTCTTCATGTCGAAGTATAATTGTGTTTTCGAGAAGTATTTTACGGAATTGTGTGGCTTTCCATACTTCATACTTCTCCAATTCACTCTCGCGTGGTCATGTGTGATGTCATGAGATGCGGTGCGATTTTCGCTTCTAGCGTCTTATATGCACGTGTTTATCGTTGCTTAGAGATCATCTATGTAAACATTCACAGACTGTCCGTATATTGCTTAATATGTTGTAATTGACATCTTTGATAATGGCTTATGTAAGCCGAAAGCTTAGATTGTATTAAAAAAATATGGATCAATATTGTGAATTACTTTCTTCGTTCAATTATAATTTTATTAAACTTATTAGACGTCATGAAAAGAGTTTGCATAAAATAAATAGACAACACTTTCTATATTATTTAATGAAACGTGTATGAATGAAAAGCTGCTGCCTAAATACACACAATATATATATATATATATATGTGTGTGTGTGTGTGTGTGTACGGTAGACACACCGACGCGCTGGACAGATTTCTCAAAATAGACCAGGCCTTGTAGAGAACAAATGAGTTTGTCTCATCCGCAATAGGTTTTACAAGTATCTAACTTGCTTCCATTGTCATTCTCATGGGAACTAAAAACATTGAACAAACTTGTCAGCAACCGTCAGAGACGTTTAATGGGTCGATAGATAGATAGATAGATAGATAGATAGATAGATAGATAGATAGATAGATAGATATGAACAGACTGGGAAAGAAAGAAAGAAAGAAAGAAAGAAAGAAAGAAAGAAAGAAATATATGCGCATTTTGAAAACCTTATTAAAAGGGAATGTTTGCATAGATTCAATATATCCTCCCATTCTTATTTGAACCATTATCTTTTGGCTATAAGGATATATTCAGAGAATAAAAGTCGGAACGATAATCCAAAATCAGTAAAATATATTCATTCCATATTTTATATTCTTCCGCGTTTTTATAGAAAAGTGCTTTATTTGTTCATGTTTATTGAAATTTCGAAGTGGGCGCTATTATTTCGTATATTAATGCAAGAATACTAAACATGAAGCTACAAATGTCAAAACAAGTTCTTAATAGCATCGCTGTTATTAGATTTTACCTTTGCGAGGATGGGCAACAGATATGCCAGTATGAATATAGAATAAATATTAAAGAGACTTTCTCCTGCTCGGGCCGAGCTGTAGAAGATTTCAGCATTTTCTGTGACCATTAACCTAGATACTTAAGACTATATTGTATAACGCATAATACATATTACAGATTTTTTTTATTCAAAGTGAAAGAGTAGAGAAAGACAGAATTTTCTTTTATAAAGTGAATCTCTATATTGTTACATACATTCACAGACAAATATATATATATATCTGTGTGTGTGTTTGTGTAAATTACTTTCGGATAGAGTGTATCTGTAAAGAAACAAAATGAATAAAAAACACTTCTTAACTGACGTGTTTCGACCTATTAGAGACTTCATCAAGGCAAATGCCATATATCTGTGTGTGTGTGTGTGTGTGTGTCTGTGTGTGTGTGTCTGTGTGTGTGTGTAGATGATGAGAGAAACTGGAAAATTTATAAACGACGTGTTCCGTCAAGAGCGTCTGCTCACTCTGGCTTCCTTGGGTCACAATAAAAGAAAGACAAAACTATATTTGAGGGAAAATGTCTTCTTAACTGACGTGTTTCGACCTATTAGAGACTTCATCAAGGCAAATGCCATATATCTGTGTGTGTGTGTGTGTGTGTGTGTCTGTCTGTCTGTCTGTCTGTGTGTGTGTCTGTGTGTGTAGATGATGAGAGAAACTGGAAAATTTATAAACGACGTGTTCCGTCAAGAGCGTCTGCTCATTCTAGCTTCCTCGGGTCACAATAAAAGAAAGACAAAACTATATTTGAGGGAAAATGTCTTGTGTTCTCTGGGATTAGTAGCCATGAATCTAATTTACCTCGATACCTTTTAATTTCCAGTGTCCAGGCGCAAGAGAGTGGCTGCCGTCGGCCGGTTTGTTTGTTTTTTTTTATTTGTTTTATCTATATATATATATATTTGCTTACGGACACCTCACATTGGAACACCTGTTTTCGTATGATCACCGAAGTGAAGCAACGTCAGTCCGGTCGGTAACTTGATGGGTGATCACGAGGAAACATTAGATGCTCATCAGATTTGAATATTTGTATCCATTTCTCAGAAACCAATGCTCGTTTGAAGCCATATTTTTGTATGTTAATAAACACAAAAAAGGAATATAAATCTCACTTTTCAGAACAATAGGCTAAATACAACAAATTTCACAGGCAAATTATGCAAAATAGAAATCGCTTCTGTTTTTGAAACATGATAATTCCTGTGTAGCGATGGAGCCGTATTTTTGAATCAGTTAAGTTATAATATATATATATATATATATATATATATATATATATATATATATATATATGGCCCAGCGTTGCCCGTGCTTCATTCAAAAAATCGTACGACTCATACAGCAACCGCTATCACTTTTTGCCTTTTAAAGGTGTGCTATTTCCCGCGCTGATGTTGCTACATGCCTTACTTCTTGCCTGTCTCACACTGCAAATTATTTTTTCTAAGCTCTATACTAAACATTAAATCTGTTACGAAAAAAGAACTAAACAAAATGAACACAAAACGATCAGCCTTAAAAAAGGACTCGTAACTGGAAAAACCGAATGAAAAAAGAATTCTAACAACAAATACTTTTTCACACCCAACCCAGTTCTGCGGAATTAAAATCAAGGTTGAGTTTAAGCAAGCGAATGAGCCAATTGGAGTAAAGTGCCATGCAGATTTAAATTTTTCCCACTTGTGACGAATGCAGCTATCGATTTTATTTGCATGCTAGCATGCTAGTTAACATTCGTGTCAGTCAGCTGTTGGCTCTTACGCTGGGCAATAGAATCTTCCTGCCTATTCGTGGCAGCCAGCTATAGGCTCTCACTCTGGCCAGTAGAAAATGGCCGCAAACTACATGAAAATTGTCGTAGAAGCATGAAAAAAAATCGATTATTTCCACTATCGATGAAAAATATCGTTGGGAAATGCAAAGTCGGTCTTTGACTTCTCGCTCACTTGGAGCATGTGCATGTAAATTTTGGTGCAAATCCGTCGAAAATTGCGGCCGTACATTCGTTACACACACACACACACACACACACACACACACACACACACACACACACATCCTGCCTTTTATAAATAGGGATAAATGAAGCATAATGGATAGCATAATGGATAATAAATATACAGCTATTTTGTACATTATTCTATGCTTTCGGGACAAACAAGTTTTCTTTTTAGATATATAATGTTTTAGTTGATTAAATTCTTTTTCTTTTTCAGATGTATCACTGGTAATGTTTAATTTTTTTGTGCTGTATTGATTGTTATTTTTCTATAAAAATGTATTATTGGTCATTTTTTTATAAAATGTATTGTTGCTAATTCTAATATAAAATGCATTGGACATTTTGCTATAAAAATGTATTATTGACAATAATATTTTTATTATAAAGATGTATTGCTGGTATTTATACTATAATGAACGATTTTTGTTTGGTGGGGGGGTCCTTATTTGTCCATAGCTGGGACCCTAACAGGTGCTACCACCCGAGTTCAGGAGGGACATGAGAGCAACCGTAATTATCGTCATACACAGGACAACCTTTATTCTAACTAGATAGCTAGCTCGATAGATAGATAGATAGATAGATTCTATTGAAATTTGTAATGAATAATTTTATTAGCACAATTTTGCAAAATTGGTAGCACTAGCATTAGGCGTTGGTTCGTTAATTTATAGTAATTGCAATTGTCTGTTCCGCCTTGAAGGGGTACGGCACAGAAGAAGAAGAAGAAGAAGAAGAAGAAAAAGAAGAAGAAGAAGAAAAAGGAGGAGGAGGAGGAGGAGAAGATGAAGGAGGAGGAGGAGGAGGAGGAAGAAGAAGGAGGAGAAGGAGGAAGAAGAAGAAGGAGGAGGAGGAAGAAGAAGAATAAGAAGAGGAGGAGAAGAAGAAGAAGGAGGAGGAGAAGAAGAAGGAGGAGGAAGAAGAATGAAGGAGGAGGAGGAAGAAGAAGAAAGAAGATGAAGAAGAAGAAGAAGATGAAGGAGAAGGAGGAGGAGGAGAAGAAGAAGAAGGAGGAGGAGGAGGAGGAAGAGGAGAAGGAGGAGGAGGAAGAATAAGAGGGTAAAGAGGATGTTGGTGTTGAAACCCTGAGAAGAAAAGTTGAGAGCAAGAACCACAAGAAACAGAAAAATTAGAAAAAAACAAGAAAGAATTAAAAAGCAGGTGAGTATCGGAGAAGAAAATCCTTAGAGTGGAAAAAGAAAGAAAGAAAGAAAGATAGAAAGAAAGAAAGAAAGAAAGAAAGAAAGCAGGAGAATAGAGAGGAGGAGGATGTTGGTGATGAAAAAGTTAAGAAGAAGAAGAAGGAGGAGGAGGAGGAAGAAGAGGAAGAGGATAAAGAGGATGTTGGTATTGAAAACCTGAGAAAAAACTTTGAGAGCAAGAACCACAAGAAACAGAAAAATTAGGAGAAAAAAATCAAGAAAAAATAAAAAAAAGGAGGTTAGTATCAGAGGAGAAAATCCTTAGAGTGGAGAAAGAAAGAAAGAAAGAAAGAAAGCAGGAGAATAGAGAGGAGGAGGATGTTGGTGATGAAAAAGTTAAGAAGAAGAAGTAGAAAAGGAAGATAAGAAGAAAGAACAATGTTGAGCCAAAAAAGAAGGAAGCGAAAAAGAAAGAAGAGGTCGATGAAGAATCTGAAGGAAATTCAGTGAAGAGGAAGAAGAAAAATGTCAAGAAAAAATCTGGAAAGCGCGAATGAAAAATAGTAGGAAGCGAAAGAATGAAAAGTTATAAAAAATAAAAAAGGGAAAATGTCAGTGAAGAAAAACTTAGAAGGGGAAAAAGAAAGAAACAAAGAAAGAAGGTGAGTGATGAAAAATTGAGAAGATAAAGTTGACGAAGAAGAAGAACAAGAAACAGAAATGGAAAGTAAGAAGAAACAAGAAAATGAAAAATAAAAGGAAGCGAAAAAATAAAAAATATGAAAAACAAAAATTTGATGAGAAAAAGGTAAGATAAAAGAAAGAAAGAAAGAAAGAAAGAAAGAAAGAAAGAAAGAAAGATAAAAGTGGAGGAGGATTTTGGCGATGAAAAAGTTGATAAGAAAGAACGATGTTGAGCCAAAAAAGAAGGAAACGAAAAAAGGCGAGCAAGAATCTGCAAAGGAAAATAACCTCGGAGGAATTTCGGTGAAGAGAAAGAAGAAAAAGGCCAGAAGAAATTTGGAAAGAGCGAATAAAAATAGCAAAAAACGAAAGATTTAAAAGTATGAAAAAAAAAGTGAATATCAGATAAGAAGAAAACACTTAGAATGGGAAAAGGAAAGAAAAAAGAGAGAAAAAAATAAAATGAAGGGGATTGTTAAGAGCACAAAATCCTGAGATGGAAAGCAAGAAGAATAAAACAAAAATAGGAAAAAGATGACAAGATTGAAGAACAACAATGGAGAAGAACGACAACGCATAACAACGACGACGACAAAGAAGAAGAAGAAGAAGAAGAAGAAGAAGAAGAAGAAGAAGAAGAATTGTTTGTGAGTTGATTTCTTGTGCCGAGTAGAAGTGTAGTACAGATATGGATTCAATTGAAACAGCAATAACTGAGCAGTAGCAAAAAAAGGACAAGACTAGATAGCTCTTTATATGAATGGAAACAATCTACAGCCGTACATTAGACAAATGGTCGAGTTCGAAATTCCCTAAAGGTTACTTGGCTCGATAAACAAGGACATTGGTCGACTGATCGGGATAATGAGGCTAAAGATGGGAACATTAGTTCAACTGTACAGCGTATATACTACATCGGTTTGTTTTCTTATTTTGCATTAATAAGCTTCAGACATATTTGGACTATCTAGATACAGAAAGATCGATAATTATGAACAGGTCGGTAGATAGATAGATAGATAGATAGATAGATAGATAGATAGGAACGGACTAAGATAGATAGATAGATAGATAGATGTTGGTACGTGTGCATTTTTTGTTGTTATTATTGTTGTTGTTGCTGTTGTTTTTTTTTTTTTTTTTTTTTTTTTTTTGTTTTGTGTGTGTGTGTGTGTGTGTGTGTGTGTGTGTGTGTGTGTGTGCGTGTGTGTGTGTGTGTGCCAGCCCGAATTTCTATGAATAATAAGTTTCCATTAGTAGTGCTATCGTACCGGAAATCACAGTGAATCCACCCATTGTTCCTTCACAAAACAGAGCAAAAGCACTTAACCATTCCGTCAAGAATACTGGTTGGCAAATATAATTTGAATTAATAAAATTCTCTCCTTTTATTTTCTTTGTCAAAATCTAGTGTCTATTTATAGACTCTTATATTAATATATTATTATGACTTGGTTTTGCGAACAAATAATAGTGTTTTACACGTCTGATTCAAGACCCCGGACACTTTTATAAGGCATCTACAGAAAAGGCATGCTTTTCTCGATTTGGTGTAGTGTCTGCAGCCAGCGAGACCTTTGACTTCAGAACTGCGTTTTTTGCTGTTTTTTTTTCTTTTTACATTACCTCTTTTTTTCTGACAGTTTATTCAACGAATGCAGTTTGTGTGAGAAACCTTGTCTCCATTTCGCTCTGCCGGTTAATACTGGTTCACAATGATGGTGGTCGAATCAACAGTAGTTACGTCCGCGTATCTGTTTAGTGATAAGCCACTTCTCGGTCGGCCATATTTAAGCATTCGAAATACAAACGTGTGTGTTTGTGCGTGTTTGTGTATGTGTGTGTGCATGTATGCGTATGTGCTATTCAATACGAGAGACAATAAATATTTTATTAATTTTTAACTTAATACATCTTGTTTTTGTATTAGGGAACAAGGGAATGAATGACTGATTCAAGACTACACCCAACATTGTTCATAGTGCTTATATATATATATATATATATATAATTATTTATTTAAAAATATGATTCCAAATCGCTACATAAGAGGTCTCATGTTTCAAAACAAGAGCCGAAAACTTCAATATAATCCTTTAAATTAAATTGAGTTGAAATTAAAATGGGCTCCGTTCCATCTTCAAGCGAAATTTTTGTTGGAATATATATATATATATAAGCACAATGGACGTATGGGGGTCAAGTAGCTCAGTTCCTAGGAGCCGACAGCCCAGACACCAGCATATATGATTTGATTATAGTGAAGGCTTTCTGCAGAACCAACCACAATTTTTGAAGAGCCAAATACAGAGACCCGGTGCACTACGTTTCACAAGGTTTCCAAACGACCCTCCGCCTATTTTGAATTCAGAGTTGTCCTTTTCCTAGTTCAGTTGCCATCCAAGGCTATAGAACCCAGTCTGTCCTGCTATTTATCCATAGCTCGAGGGAGAAGATGAGGATTAATACCTTTCCCAAGTGTATTAGCACGTAAATGAATGTAATGGATATGTGACATCTAGCGTTTGGTTAACTAATTAAGCGTGGAAATTAAAAGCGGGAAATACTTAAGGTGAGAAGAAGCTATCACAAAAGACATACTGAGCGATGTTATTTTTTTTAACAAAAGAAAAGTGGTAAAGATTTTATTTTCATTTGCGAAGAAAAGTATTTTTTTCGCAGAAGATAGGAAATTCGTAAGATCTCGGATCTGTCAGAATTAATTTATGCCATGACGCGGCGAATAAAAGATAGCAATCTGCCCATGGCAATAATGAAAATTTCAAATTGGTCAAGTGGCTTACAAAGCGGAATGCTAGAAGATAATCAGAATTGGGTCAAGCATGCGACCGAGAAAAGGATCAGCTGAGACCACCCCAAGAAAAAGGGAAGGAAGAAGAGAAAAAGGAAAAGAATAAACCATTACCTATCTTTCGGAGATATCATTTGGTTTTGGAAAGGAACCACCTGTTTTGTGTCCAGACCTTGCCATGATAAAAGTTTGTTACCTGGACAGACTGTTGGCGAGAGAAGTACAAAGACGTTGAGGAATACAAAGAAATTCAGTTGACAACCCAGATAATCACTTGGCGAACATCTCGTTGATGAATCCCAGATGACATTCAGTTAAGATAGAGATTTAATGACCACAGTACGAGTCGTGGGGGTTCTATCCATGGAAAAAAAAGAAAAGAAAAAGGAAGATATTTTTTTCTTTGAGCGAAGCTAGTCTAGCCACACCCACACTGCCGAGCGTTCATTGGCTGAATGATGGCGTGAGCGATGGGCGAAGGTAAACATATGAGAAAGAAGAGAAACCTGTTGATGCCCTCTGAGGGGATTGGTGTGAGATGCCAATATGAGAAAGGAAGAATTTGGGAGGACAATTCCCTTAGGAACCACTTTAAAACAGAAAGTAATTGACTTCCAAAAATGGGAAGTGATAAATTTCCTGTCCGAAAACAAAGAAAATCCTTATTGCGTATTTGGAATTATCGATGAACCCAAACCACGACAGGCCCCCACCCGGTTTTGGTCGGCGTCCATATAAACGAACGCCCCCAGGGGAGACGGTGGCAGTTGGGCAGACGCAGACAGAGTTACTGAGCAGACAGAGTTGAGCTGTGAGCACGGAGACCAGCCTCGCAGGGGCAGACTGAAAGATTTCCACGCATTCCGACTTAGTCTTCTAAACAAAAAGAATTTTTTTTGAAGAACGACTTAGACTCACACTACCAAAACAAGTTTTACGAATATCGCCTGAAGACACCAAAAACCAGTTTATTTAAAAACAATTTAAGATATTAAGACTCGCCTAAGAAACGCAAAGTGTCACGTATCCATAGAAGCGGTTTGGGAGAAAGACGCAGTCCTGTATTCAGCAGCCAGATATACAGATACTTGTTATTCCTTTTTTTAACACATTTGAATCTTTCGAGTCGTTACTTTATTTTCTTTTACATATACTTGTGCGGTGTCACCTTTGCTCGAATTCGGCTTGCACTACGGCCCGACGACTGATTGATTTCGTCTACAACATGGGTAGGTTAGACTAGAAATCAAATCAGTTACTTGGGTAACCAGACGTTGGAGGCGAGCTAGGAACGACAAGGCTGATGCCGAATCTAACCAGATATCCATCCGAATCAGTCAAGGGTTAGATCGTCACAGGATAGCACGGGAGAGGCCCAGGGTGAGATATATATATATATATATATATATATATATATATATATATATATATATATATATATATATGTGAAACATTGAAGTCAACTCATGCTAGACGCAATCGCAAATTATATTTACATACGCTCTATTCCTGATATTGAGCACTTTATCCCATAAATATAGCACACCTTAAAACTATATATATATATATATATATATGTGTGTGTGTGTGTGTGTGTGTGTGTGTGTGTGTGTGTGTGTGTGTGTGTGTGTGTGTGTGTGTGTGTGTGTGTGTGCAAGCGTACGGACACACACGATTGGGTGGTTAGAACTTTCGCTTTCTGGCCATGAAATCTGGGTTTAAATCTCATCATTAAATGATCGGTGACTAAAAAACGATATTTACTTTTTAATATATTAATAAAATATTTTGAATAAATTAAAGAGTTTTTGAATAATACAGACATATTGTGCCTACTTATTTTTATGTCGATCCTTTCTAGTGTTCTAATCAGTTTTTGGATGCTAAAATGAAATTTATCAATGAAGGCGTCGTAGTTTTTTTTTTTTTTTTTTTTTTTTCTAATCCAAGTACTTTCGATCTTTTCCTGGGTCATCTTCAGGGGTAACTTACAAAGACAAAGTGATTATAACTGCGATAAATTCTGCATTCCGTTGTGATGGTGATTTAAAAAAAAATATATAAACACGCACAGACGCGCTCCGTTATAATTATTTTAAGAATTTTAATTTATCCCTTGTGGTTATGGATTTTTTTTCAAAACAAGCGTTTCAATATGAGGAAGCTGACCGGAAAATTGATAGAAATGCAAAATGGCATTAAATGTGTGTTATATGCACTTCAATACATTGCTGCTACACTTGTAATAAATTTTATTGAGTGTTGGTTGGTGTTGCTTGAGGGCCTTGAGAATTTGAAGTTTTTGTTTATTATTTTCGTGGTGTAGTATATTGATGTTTCCAACAATGCATGCAAACGCAAACACACACACACACAGACACACACAGACACACACACACACATACATACACACACACACACACACACACATATATATATATATATATATATATATATATATATATATATTATAAATTTGCTAATTTAACAATATGGTTCCATAGCTACACAGGAATTACCATGTTTCAAAATCAGAAGAAAAAAAACTTCAAATTTAATTATTGAATTAAATTAAAATTCCTAGTACTGTTTCATTTTCAAGCGAATGAAACAGTACTAGTGATTTTAATTTAATTCTATAATTAAATTTGAATTTTTCAGTTTCTGTTTTTGAAACATGGTAATATCTGTGTAGGGATGGAACCATATTTTTAAATTAGTAAATTTATATTTATGCTTTGCAGAATTTTACTGAGCACTGCTTTTTAAATAAAAATAATTAATAAGAACACCGGATTATAAATCTTACTATTCTTTCTCTTTATTATATATATATATATATATATATATATATATATATATATATATATATATATATATATATATATAAAACTACATTTCGAAAGTTTGAATCACTGAATTAACATGGGATGAACTTGACAAATGTGTGAAAAAAGTGAAAAAGTCCTCTTAGGGTCAACGAAAAAAGAATGGAATCAATTATGAAACTTAGACTTTGAGACGCTTTACCAACGAATGGCGAAGATTTCTGCTGCAGTAATCAAGCCTAAAGGAGGATATTTGGACGAGAACAAAATTAAAATATTAAATGCTTCTTTTTTTTTTTCTTTTAGTCATAATAAAATTTCTAGTAAAAAATCAGGCTCTCTTTTTTAAACCATATATAATAATTTTCTCTTATTAAAAGTACAAAACAACGAATTTGGGGGCCAATTTAAAAAATTACCAGGTATAGCCTTAAACTTTTGAACTGTAGTTTA